CCGCGAGTCTCTCTCGTTCCCACAGAATCTCCTATCTGTCCCCCTAACTATGGAGTCCCCAATGACTAATGCTCTCCTCCTCTCCCCACTTCCCTTCTGAGCAACAGGGACAGACTCTGTGCCAGAGACCTGTACCCCATGGCTTACCCCTGGTAAGTCGTCCCCCCCAACAGTATCCAAAACGGTATACTTGCTCTTGAGGGGAACGGCCACAGGGGATCCCTGCACTGTCTGCCTGTTCCCTTTCCGTCCCCTGACTGTAACCCATCTACTTTTCTCCTGTACCTGAGGTGTGACTACCTCCCTGTAACTCCTCTCAATTACCCCCTCAGCCTCCCGAATGATCCAAAGTTCATCCAGCTCCAGCTCCAGCTCCCTAACGCGGTTTCCGAGGAGCTGGAGTTGGGTGCACTTCCCGCAGATGAAGTCAGTGGGGACACTAGTGGTGACCCTTACCTCCCACAGTCTACAGGAGGAGCATGCAACTGCCCTAACATCCATTCCCACTGTTCTGAATTCCCAAACAGACTATTAAAAAAAAACTAGTAGCCTTACCAAATCAGCGCTCAGAACCTTTTTTTTGGGTTAGAGGAGGAGGATGGGTGGGAGACACTACCTAGGTAGTGTTTCGGGTGAAGAAACCGCCCAAATATATTACCTCACTTACTCACTCCAAAAATGGGAGTCACGCGAGGTAAGACTTTTATAATCGAAAAGCTTACCTTCCCCAGGCTGCCCTCGCGCTTCCTCCCGGACTCCCGCCGCTGAAACAACTGAAAGGCCTGCTGTGTTCGTCCAGCTCTACACCTTGTTATCTCTCTTAGCACAAAGCAGTTGGTTTTGGGACTGATCTTGGGACTTGTTTTGACTAATGTCAGTTATCTTCTATATTTGCTTGCAACATTGCTCTGCGTGTATACAGCGATCGATACAAATACCCTCTAACGAACAGGTTTTGAAATCATCTCCGAAGCTGTTGGGCTCATAGTTTTAGATATTTACTTTCTGTTTCTGCTAGTAGTTGTGACAGAATCAAAAAGGGCAGTTGTGGGACTTCGTGAAAACCTAAAAAGCAGGAAAGGGTTAAAGGGGGCTTAAGATCAGTGTTAAAGTCTTTAATGGCTACTTACAGGACAACAATAGTAGTTTTGCATCATACAAGGGAAACTGATTATATCAGCACTTCGTGACCTTTTAACTGCACTTCAGCGCTCAGCAAGAGGTAACCACAGATTAGTCTCACTGAACAATCACAACTAACTGCAAACGTCAGCTTTGAGTGCTTTACAGGTCAAAGTACTTGTCCCAATAGAGCAAAAACAAAAACAGAAACCATTGAGGGAGACAGACGCTGACTGTGTAAGAGTAAGCTCAGTAGTCTGTAAAAAAGACATCTGTTGGTTATATTAAGGAACTGATGACTCTAAGAATGCTGTGTACACAAGTATCTGTTCCAATATTCTATAAGAAGGCCATGTCTACTCACTGCAAGAGCCGAGGCTCAAAGACGTAGCAGCAAGTTCTCCAAATAAAGACAACTGAAGGCCATTTTACCGTGTCTCTGTCTCTCATTCCGGTTCGCATTACGAGAAGAACCCCAACATCTGGAAGGTGTGTATACTTGAATACGGAGGATGGAGGAGGTAGATGGACAGGAGTTACACTTTCTGGGGTTGCAGGGAAAGGTGCCAAGGGGGTGTTGGGAGTGAAGGAGGAATGGACCAGGGTATCCCAGAGGGAACAGTCCTTGCAGAAGGATGACAAGAGAGGGGAGGGGAATAAGTGTCTGGTGGTGGCATTCCACTGGAGGTGGCAGAAATGGGGGCTTATGGAGTGTAGAGGTACCTACCTCAAATCTATTTTTCTCCTTGTCCAGTCCCTTCCCACTTATATCCACGATTTCTGAGATGCTTTATGCCAGTTTCAGAATTTTCAGTTTGCAGGCTCCAGCCACCTCCTCTTTACCATGGACGTGCGATCCCTTTACACAGACATTCCCTATCAGGATGCTGTCAGGGCTCTCTGCTTCTTCCTGGAAAAAACACCTGAACTGTTCCCTCCCACTGCCACTCTCCTCCACCTAGCCGAGCTTATCCTCACCCTGAGCAACTTCTCTAAATGCCACTCACCTTCATGTCAGAGTGGTAGCCATGGGTACCTGCATGGGCCCCTGTTATGCTGTGTCTGTGGGGTATGTGGAACATTCCTTGTTCCCCAGTCCTATTCTGACCTCCACCCACAAATCTTTCTCCGGTATATCGATGATATAATTGGTATTGCATCCCTCTCATCTGGAATTGGAAAAGTTTATCAATTTCACTTCCAATTTCCACCCCGTTCACCTTCACCTGGTCCACCTGACTCCTCCCTTCTTCAACATTGTTTCCATTTCTGGGGATAGGCTGGCCACCAATATCCACTACAAACCAACTCCTACAAGTTAACAATACATCCTCACAACATGTTTCCTGTAGAGACACTATTCCATTCTCCAAGTTCCTCTGTCTGTCACATCTCTGTTCTGATGAGGCCAACTTCGACAAGGAGGCCTCTGAAAAATCCACCTTCTTCCCCAACCGAGGATTTCCTAGCACCGTAGTGGACAGGGCCTCAGCTGGGTCTGACTCATCTCCTGGACATCAGCCTTCACACCCTCTCTTCACTCCCACAACAGGGATAGGGTCCCCTAGCATCCTCAGAGAAGCTGCCATTTCTACCACCTTCAGTAGGATGCCACCAGACACATATTCCCCTCCACTCCCATCTGGTTACCACAAGGACTGTTCCCTCTGGGAGAGCCTGGTCCACTCCTCCAATCATCTAATCCTAGCCCACCCCTCCTGCCCAACAAACCCATGTCACCTTCCACCGGAACTGCAGAAGGTGTAATACCTGCCCATTTACCTCCTCCCTCCTCAGTACCCAAGGACCCAAACACACCTTCCAGGTGAAGCATTACTTTATCTGCACTTCACTCAACCTAGTTAACTGCATTCACTGCTCACAATGAGTTAAAGCGTAGACTGGGTGACTGCTTTACAGAACACCTATGTTCTGTCCACACAAAAAAAATAAGAAAACCAAGCTTCCAGTTGCCTCCCACTTCAACACACCACTGTTCCCTGGCCAACATCTGGCTTAGGCTTAGCACCTCATTTTCCACTTGAGAACTCTACAACCTTCTGGACTCAATATCAAGTTCAACAAGTTTCGGGCTTGAGGCATCCTTTCCATTGTTCATAGCCCACTCCCACACACACCAGGCCATGTTATCAAATGATCTGCTAATACACACAACCCAATAATTGTCCTCATTATTAGCTATTCATTCTCCTAGGCTGATCGTTACCCACTCCCTTTGTCTGTTCAACTGTTCTCTCTCTCCGAGTTCTATCGCCATCTATCATGGTGCACGTGCTTGGCAGGAGGGACATGTCAGGAGAACTGGTCTCCTGAGAAAAGGACCAAGCTTCACTGAACAGTGCATTCTAACCCCAATCCATTAACGTTAGCTCTGCAACAATGAGTTACAAAACTGGTTTTAGAGTGAGAGGCCCTGGCAAGTGCCACCAGACTGAACTATAGGGTTTGAAATCAACCTCCCAATGGAGTTCCCAACTTCAATTTATTTAGGATGAATGCGAGAGATAATGAAGGAAACATAAGGGAGAAATTGTCATTACTTGGAACATTATCACATCCTCAAACATTTACGGTATTTCAAACAGATTAGTTGCTCCTGAAGTAGTCACTTTTATTGTGCCACTCAACATGTCAAAATGGAAAAAGCATAACCCCACAAACAGAAGTGATTGGTCTTTTAAATTTAATGTTTTAGTATCAATTGAGATACAACTGATAGTTGGAATATTCTTCAATTAGAGATATGGAATCTCAATTGTACAGACAGAAAGGCCTGACTAGAATGGCAATATTTCGGACCAATGTTGTACGTCCAGGCAGGAGCATAGTTTCTTTGTGAAATACCATGGAGCACCCACAGGCTAATGTTCAGCAGTCATGGGTTGAATTCCATCATGATAGATGCTGAAATTTGAATTCAATAAAAATCTGGAGAGCAGGGATCTTTCCATCATTTACGAACCAAACTGAACCTCAAATCTAAAACTGGTTCATTATGACGATCAATGGTCAGTAAAAAGCCCATTTGATTTAATAATATCTTTTAAGGAAGAAAATCTGCTATTCTTAACTGGCTGTCCGATATGCGACTCCAGATTCACAGCAATGTAGTTGATTCTCAACTGCTCGGTGGACAATTAGGGATGGGTAATAAATGCTGGGCCACAAATAGAGCTCTGATTATGTGATAGACAAGACATTTAGTTTGTGTATGCAAAAAGACAAGACCAAAAAAAAGACATAAAAGTGTGGACAAAACGGATGTGTTTATAGGACAAGTTTTTTTTTACAATTGCTTCATTGCACAGATCTGCGGTTGATTCAAGATGCTGCTCATATTGAAGTAAGCCTGCTAAAATAATGATCTTGGGGTTCAGTTGGCAGATTCCATTCATGAAACATCACACTTAAAATTTGTACCCTTCTAATAAGAGCATCGTGGTCCTCTGCAGGGACTAGATGAGTAACAACAGAATATCTGCTGCTCTGAAACTAGGCTGAGGAATAGAAAATTAGCTAATGAAGCAAAAATTCTTTTCACAACTTCAGGCTATCTCAGCATTCTCACAGTCAATGAAATACTGTTGTGATGTAATTAAATAAAACCAAGCTTATATCAATTACCACCCCAGTTTAAGACTGAGCTCTACTGTGATTGGAAACGTGAGGACAGCTCAGTCCAATTTCTCGCTACAGTCTACAGCACCATGTTTTAAACAAAAGACTTAAAGTGCACAAATTGTCAAGGATAATTATTTTCTCCTACAATGAGGTAACACATCTAATAAGCACTGTCTAGCCCTGTTCTTCTAGGGCATAAAGGTATTTAATGACTACATCATAGGAGTAAACTTTACCTGTTCCATAACCAGTCGGGCAAGCTTGGTTGGATTAGCTATGTTTCTGACAGCAGCAACTGCTCCAGCATCCAGACTTTTCCCATCCATGATAATGGCATCAACTTCAACTTCACCACATTCATTAAGCATAGATCCACAACCTAAATCGGGAAAGAAACTCACCATCAGCCTCATTTGAGATTCCTGTTGCAACAGCATTCCTGTCATAGGACTAGTTCCAGTGTTTGTCACAATCAATTCAGTTTACTTTGGTGCCTATTTACATTTTCAATGACTATCCAGTTCACATCAAATAAATGTTTGAAGTTAAAAAGATTGATAGTTAAACAAAAGCAGACTTGCTGGAGAAACTAAGATCTGGTGGCATGTGTGGAGAGAAAGCAGAGTTAACCATTGAGTCCAGTAATTCTTCAGACAGTCAGGGTTGAGAAGGGGAGGGACTGGTATATTTATCAAAGTTTCATGACTGCAAAATAGGGGAAAAATGAGTAAACTTGCCAATTAAACAATTAAAACAAATAAACTTTATAGATAAATGTGACGTGAAGCTGTTTCACGTCATGGGAAGAAAGAAACTGAATGGGGTAGAAGAGCAAAGAGATTAAGTGAAATAGGTTAACAAATTTAAACAGATCATGGAAGCAATTTGAATTATTCAAAATTCAAAAAGTAGAGACGTTATGTGGAGCTTAAAAAGATACTGGAAATACTTAGCAGGTCCAGCAGCATCTGTGCAGAAAAACAGGGAATTAATATAGCAGGTCAATGTCCTATCATCAGAACTGGGCAAAATTATGGAGATGTTATAGGATTCGAGCAAGGAATGGGTGAGATAAGGACAAGAAGATGGTCTGTGATAAAGTTGCAAACAGGAGAGACTGAATAATGGATAAATTAGGTCTTACAGGGCCAAAAGGAATGCAGATGAGGAAAGATCTCAGATTATAGCTATTGGTAAAAATTGAACAGGTTAGGACAATTTTTATTTTAAAAAGAGCTGCTTTGATCAAGGCCCTTCAAGGGGAGGCAATGGCCTAGTGGTATTATCGCTAGACTGTTAATCCAGAGACCCAGATAATGTTCTGGGGACCTGGGTTCGTATCCTGCCATGGCAGATTGTGGAATTTGTGTTCAATAAATATCTGGAATTAAGAATCTAATGATGACCATGAATCCATTGCCGATTGTCAGAGTGAAAAACCCATCTGGCTCACTAATGTCCTTTAGGGAAGGAAACTACCTGGTCTGGCCTACATGTGACTCCAGACCCACAGCAATGTGGTTGACTCTTAACTGCCCTCTGGGCAATAAATGCTGCCTGGCCAGCAACGCCCTTATCCCGTGAATGAATAAAGAAAAAAAATAACGAAAATGCTGAACAATTTAGACATGAAAGAATCCAAAAAGAGAGGCTATAATGCAAGACAATGTCTCAGTTCCACAGGAGAACAACTCACTGAGCAAGTGGTGGGAATGTGAATGTGGATTAGGGGAATATGGCGTGAGCAATGTGGTGGGGTGGCAGTGCTGAATTGGTATCAGGGTCAAAGCTGGACATTTGACACTTCACAGCATGATTACCAATGTATGTCCTCTGCAACCAGTTTTTGCATTGACAGGCCATAATCGAATGTTCTAAACAATATAGGACACCTACTTACTGCTGTAGGAACAGCAAATCTGATTCAATAATTTCAGTCCTATACCCACTCTTTGATTTTTGCCCATAAACCATCTATATTAATATCACGCCCAACTTAAAAGACTTCATGATGTACATTAACATTTGTGTGGTACCTTATCAAAATGCATTTTGGAAATCTAAATATACTACACCCACTGAATCCATTTTGTCTACCCAACTTGTCAAACAGGATTTCCCTTATGTGAAATCATATCAACTCTGTCCGAACTTAGTGATTTACAAAGTACATTTAAGACTTCCTGAATAATAGACTTCAACAACTTCTAATGATCGATGTCAGGTTAAATGGCGTATGCTGCCCTGTTTTCTCTGTCCCTCCTTTCTTGAACAGTGTTACATTAGATAACTTCCATACCATGGCACCATCCCAGAATTAGAGATGTTTGGAAAATCATAACCAGTGCACCTACCATCTCTGCAGCTTTTTTTTTTTAAGAATCCTAGTATGTAAACAAATGAATCCCCTGGGAATTTAACAGATTTTAGTCCCTTAAGAAGAACAGCGAGAATAAAGAACAACAGTCCACAAATAGGCCCTTCGACACATGATACATTCCCATTTAAAAACCTTTGCCTCTATGCAATCCATATCTCTATTCCCTGCCTATTCATATATCTGTCAAGATGCTTCTGAAACGTTGCTCTTCTATCCATGTCCACCACCTCCTCTGGCAGGACATTCCAAGCACTTGCCACCCTCTGTGTAACAAACTTACCTCTAACATCTTCAAAAACTTTCCCCCTTTTACTTAAGGCCTAAGTCTCCCAGCAATTGACATTCCTATCCCTGGAAAAGGACTTCAACTATGCATTCTACCCATGCCTCACAATTTTGTAAACGTTGATTAGGTTACCCCTCATGCTTTGCTGCTCAAGCAAAAACAGACCATGCTTGTCCAATCTTTTCTCACACTTAATGCCCTCTAACCAGGCAATATCCTGATAAACCCTTTCCAAAGCCTGCACATCCTTTTTGAAATGTGAAGACCGGAACTGTACACAAAATTCTAAACGTGGCCTCAGTGAAGTTCTATAAAGCTGCAACATGACTTGCCAATTTTTATATCCTATGCCTCAACTCCTATTTACTCTGAAGGTGAATAATCCTCCCACATGAGCATTCAAGGCAAATTGAAAAATGCATTTCTAAGCAAAAAACCACCCTGGACACATCTAACAAAGTGTCCTACTCATCCAAGTCCCTGGACAATATTGGGAGGGGAGGAGGAGTTAAGATCATTTACCGTAACAATCTTGCTGTTTTTACATTTTCCCATAATCTGTCCACGTATCTGTTCCTCTAACACCCACAGGCTGTTGGGAGGCCTGTAGTACAATCCCATCAAGTGATTTCATCCTTCCTCTCCTGAGCTCTACCCAAATGGCCTTGCTAGATGAGCCCAAGGTGTGAACCCTCAATACAGCTGTAATATTCTCCCTGATCAACAATACAACTTCACCACCTCTGTTATATCCCTCCAATATCACATCCGAAACATTTAAATCCCAAAAACATTAAGCAGCCAGTCTGGCCCCTCTCGGAACCAAATCTCTGTAATAGGTACATCATCAAATTTTATACAGTTTAATCCAAGGTCTAAATTCATCTGCCTTGCCTATCAGACTCCTCATATTAAAACAAATACATCTCACTGCCAGTCCTGCCACGTTCAGTAACCTTTCCCTGTCTGACTGCTCAAACTCACCCTTCAGAATATCCTGCACCTGCTCAGAGACATCCTTGACACTGGCACCAGGGAGGCAACACATCATCCTGGACTCTCACTTGCAGCCACATAAATGTCTGTGCCCCTGACTATGGAGTCCCCTATCATTACTGCATGCCTACACTTTGATCCTTCCTGCTGTACAACAGTGCCAGTCTTGCTGGCATTGATCTGGCTGGCGCTGCTGCTTTCCCCAAGAGACCATCTCCCTCCAATAGTATCCAAAACAGTGTACTTGTTTGAGCAGGAAAATGGCCACAGGAGACTCCTACACTGTCTGCCCACGTTTGTCTTACTGGTGGTCACTCAACTCTTCTGTATATTACTGATTGGTGGTCTGATCAGCTCTTAACTTGCTACGACGTTCTAAATATGGAGAGAATGCAGACTGATTGCTTCGCAGAACACCTCCCAGTGTCTGAAAAAAATGACCCAGAGCATCAATTGCCTGCCACTTCAACATACTGCTGTACTCCCATGCCAACATTTTAGTCTCAGGCCTGCTGCAGTCTTCCAGTGAAACTCAGTGCAAGCTGGAGGAACAGGATCTTTTCTTCCACTTAGGTACCTTATATCCTTCAGGAGTCAACATTGAGTTTGACTATATCAGAACATGAACATCTTCCTCGATTTTTGTTACCCATGTCCTATCCTGTATGGGTTTCTTCCAGCACAGAAAATTCATTTTCAACTATTCATACCTCCGCTCAGCACCCAGTCAGCATTCATCTCCCTCCTAGCATATCAATAAACCTTTTGTCTGCTTCTCTGTTGTTTTCCTCTCTGTCCACCTATTCAACTCATACTCTCCTCCTCCTCCACCACCACCTGCCACCCTCCCCATTCAGCATAAATACACCCCTTCCCAGCTGCTTTCAGTTCTGCAAGGCATCACTGGACTCAAAACATTAACTTATTTTTCTTTCCAGAGATGCTGCCCGCACCCGAATTTCTCCAGCACTTTGGTATGTTTAACATTGAGGACCTTAGTTCAAATGAATCCAGATTTTACAGATGGCAGAATTTGAATTCAATAAAATGCTTGAGTCAAAAGTCTAAATGTTGACCATGAAGCTATTGCTCAATGTTGTAAAAACTGTTTGGTTCACTTGTGTCCTTCAGGGAGATATAATTGCCGTTCCTTCAGTTTCTCTGGATCAAAACCTGGAACTCCCTCCCTAATAGCATAGTGGGTTTACCTGCAGCAGTTCATGAAGACAGCTCACCACCTTCTCAAGTGGTTGGCAACGCATTTTAGGTTGTGACATCCACACTCCATAAATGAATTGTAAAAAATGCTCCTATATGAACTAAATTTGCAGACGCAAGGATCATTGACTTCATCTATTTTAAGAGGACAGAAGCTTTCAAAAATAAATTGGATGTTTGGAAAATAAAAAGGATTGATGAGGGAATATTTGAAAGTTTCTCTGCTTTGCAGACATAGTAGTGACATGGACCAGGCCAGACCCCCTCAAAATATTTAAGAAAGTAGCCTAGACCCTAACTTCTTCTTATTTTAAAAGATAGATGCGAAGTGGGTGTTCCAGGAGTGATGCAACTGGTCAAACCACTCGGCTTTAAGCAAAACACAATTTAAACAGTACAGTTAAAACAAACAAAAGAAAGCAGAGTTCAGAATAGCTTAACTATTGGAAAACTTAACTAAATACTCGATGCAATAACTATTATGAATTAACTGTTCCAA